ATGTAGCCTTTTCTCCAAATGGGATAAGGATCTTCAGGGAGTAAATCAGGACTATAGAATATACAATGGTACCAATATGCCTTAAATAGTTAATGATGTCCAGTATATCTAAACTTCTAGAACTGAACGTAATGCTCCAGGAGGGTAGGAAACACTAGGATTAATCATAATGGGTGCATTAAACATTTGTCTGGAGGGAGTGTAAAGCATCCTCTAGGTCCAGACTCGCAGTAATGGCAAACCTTTTAGAGTTTTCAATGATACAGACAGCCTACTGCAGCACACCCGCCATAGGTTCACCGCCACTGAAGAGTGAGTGCAGCTCTTTCACTACTCACCTACTTAACTCTGCTCCAGCTGGCTGCCGACAGGTCTGTACTCAGAGCTCCTCAGAGACTGGCCTAGGCCTCCCTCGAACAACTTCCATCATCATCACGGCCTGTGGATTTAACCGCTCTGAGCTTTATCTATTTCAGCAGAAAGCTTGCTTTGCCTTGAGCCCCTAATAGACTAGAAGGACTCAGGTAGTGTCTTGCAGGAATGATGCTCACCTCAGATATCACCTCAGAACAGCATCTCCCAGGCAAAGCTAGTTCATTCCCTTTTTTTTCCATTTTAGAAATGTTTTCATTTCCTATTTTGGAATTTTAATTACTTATTTTTGTAGAAGAGCCAATGTCAGCCCACAGGGGCTGGGCCTCTGCGGTTGCCTGTGGCCCCCATCACCACAGGATTTTCTTTCCACCCGAAGATATGACCCATCCTGACTGCCAGGCAGGAAACCATTTCTGTACTCTTTGGTCGGCCTTGTGCTTCTGTTCTGTCCCTGAGTTTGATTTATATGCAGCTCTCTTTTATACTAAAACATGAGAACCTTGAGGTCAGAGACACTCATCTTTGTACCCTTGGTGCCCAAGTCACAATCGAGCCTTAATAAATGCAGTCATCCCTTGGTGTCCATGCTGGATTCATCCCTGAATCTCCCAGTTACCAAAATCCAGATGCTTGAGTCTCTTCTGTAAAATGGCACAGTATTGCACATGATCTCTGCATATCCTCCACTATACTTTAAATCATCTTAGGTGACTTACAATAACCAATCCAATATAAATGCAGTGTAAGTAGTTGTTACAATGTATTGTGCAGGGAATAATGATGAAACAAAGCAATCTGTATATGTTCCGTACAGACCATTTCTTAAAAATATTTTCAACCCATATGGGTTGAATCTCCATAGATGCAGAACCCACAGATAGAGAGCCAATTGTATCTAAAGAACAATGAACACATACACATATGTTGGCCATTGTGGCACTTGGAATGATTTCTAAGTATTTCACAAAAGCTGGCTTGGCAAATTCTACCTCTCATCTGGATGTAAACTAATCATTTTAATTAAGGCATTTCCTAATTGTTTAAATCATGTTTTTTTATTTTAAAACAAATCTCATCAGTGTGGCTTTCTCTGCAAAAGCACCTGAGTAGAGCAGTCATGCCGGTGCAAATACAAAGGAATGCTTCCCACTCTTGCTTTCCAGTGCTGGAGGCACCAGAAGTCTCCTGAGCACAATCTCAGACCTTGCACCAGCTCAGGAGAGCCACAGTCCATGGGTAAATGTAATGGGCAGAAAACCAGGGACAAATGTCCCCTCTTATCCCAAGCTGACACAGGAAGAGGTGGATAATTGATTCCCATCAGTTTGTCAGCTTTGACTTGTAGTGGTCAGTCTTTCAGGCTTTGGAGAAAAGCTGGTTGGACATCACTGAAAACAGAATATATTAAATGCTTAATGACCATCCTTACCTTTGGGAAAGTTTGAGATAATAGATGAAAACTGTAACATCTGTGTTAATGTTTCTTATATTTTTAGTTTCTGCTCTTTTTGGTAAAATATGAAAACCCCAAAATCAGGCTATCCCTTTGTGTCCCCTAATATGCCATAAGCAGTCCTCACTGGCCAATATTTTTATTGTCATTGCTTCAAGAAAACTTCTCCTCAACACAATTGATGATAATGGCTTGAAACAAATAGAGGAGACACAACTTTTACATGCAGACAGAGCAACCATTACTAGGTTATGTTAGTCACATGTCATACAGTTGCTTATAATTTTACACATTTATCTATAATTCTTTTATTTTTGTCTTTTGTTTAAAAGACAATATGAATGACTGTCTTAGAACAGAAATGGTTAGCTATACTTGCAGCAAATGAGGCGGGGAAATATCTGAGTCTAAATTTTCTATTGTTCAGCAAACCAATGTTTTGGATACGTCCTCTAGGATAAAAAATGAAGAAGTAATTTGCTTACTGTAAAAAGCTGTTTTTCTGCTGGTTTTACATAAGCATTAGGGTAAGCATCTCTAATCCAAAAATCTAAACTGCTCCAAAATCCAGGAACTCTTTAAGTGCCAATATGATAGTACCACAAGCGTGGCAAATTCCATACCTGACGTTATGTGATGGGCAGCACTCAAAATGCAAGCAGGTTAGACATACTGTCTAAAATTATTCTTAGCCTATGTATATACAATGTATGTAAGATATAAATTTTATGTTTAGACTTGATATTATCACCAAGATATCTAATTTTACATATATATATATATATATATATATGCAAATATTCCAAAATCTAAAGTCAGAAATACTCTTTTTTGGTCTTAAGCATCTCAGAAATGGATAGATACCCACCCAGTACTTTATTTAGGGATTAAGCCTCAGATATTTAGGGCAAGGAGAGCTCAGTGATAATCCTAAATATTATCATCAATTATTTTTTCTTCTAAGAAAACTAATGTTTTATCCAAAAATCTGATGCTTTGGAATGAAAATATATTCCAAAATAATTGGAATGACATAGTAAATTGTAGTTTATGATTTTGTGTCTCAGGTTCAGCTCTTGGTTTTACTACTTTCTATAAAACTATAGATTATCAAACATATTACTGTAATTCATGGTAACCAAAAACAATATTTAAGTATGGCTAATAGTCATCTGTCTTGCTTAACTGAATGAAGTACTGTTTATTACAAAGAAGATATTGCATCTTTTTATGCCCTAATTGAAGTCTTTCCACAACTGAGAATCAGGATGCTCAATGTCTTAGAAAAACCAACATGTATAACGTGGGTACCTTCTCCTGATGACCTATACACCATGGTCTATAAATCAGAGAGATTTATACACAACTATAAACCAGAGAAACAATTGTATGATTTTATATTTTGAGCCCAAATAGAAACTAGAAATTTAATGTGATTAAATGGCATTCCATCAAACTCAGAAGGATCTGTACCAGGAAGTTTCCACTTTACAGTTGCCAAGCCTTCCACTGCCTTGCTTATGAAATAGTATAAAGGTTTGAAATGCTCCCCACCTCCTTCCCTCTTGGGTGTTGGGGCAACCTTGTGTCCCTGGACCTGGGATGGTCTCAAGCTACTTGGTGGGTACCCTGATGGCAGGGAGGCCACCATTCAGAGGGTCAAGGCTTCTATCACCCACAGAGATGCCAAGTTGACCTTGTGAATCCTGCCACAACCCCCACCCTAACCCACCATCCTTCCATGCAATAGTGTCTAGATCAGTAAACAATGATGTGTAGATCACCACCTTTTAGAAACTCTATGTCCAAAGTCCCACCTTACGTACAAAGGAGGAACTTCTTACACTGAATTATATGTTAGGGAAATATTCACATGAGATTCACTGTGTTCCTGTAACGTTCTACTTTACACCGTGGTGCTTGCAGTAAAGATGCTGACAACTAGAAAACAACCTGTATTTTAATAAATAAATCATGTAAACTGGTAATACTGATTATTCATTATCCTGTAATGCCACTGCTGAATTTTTAAATTGCCTTTTCAGGATTTCATCAGAAAGGTAACAGGCTCCCTCTAGTGGGAAGTGAGCATTGTAGTATCTCTCCCCAGGCAGTGTAACTTCATAGCAGGTTTTATCTGAAGGAAAAGGTGACTCTTGTGACTCAGACAGTTGAGACTCCTTGACATTTATTTTTCTCTTCAAATTTTACCAAAGACTTTAACATCAATTAGCAAGAGATGCTCTTAGGACAGTCCAGAGTCTAGAATCACGTTGGGGAAGGGAACTGCTCCTGTGTGAGCAAAGGAAAGTGAAAGTCCTAATGATCTGCGGCAAGGCCCTGACATGTCAGAAAATACAGGAATATATTGATGTGATCTTTATGAAATTTATAAATACTTTAGAAGCTATATAGAGTTCATGTACTTAATTATCAAAGTAAAAGACTATTTCTCTTCTAGCCCTAATTGTACAAATGAGTTTATGTGACTTGCTCAGTATTACATGTATTTGAAGTCGGCTGTCACCTGAGTTCCTTCGAATTGTATGTCACATAAGTCATATTCACCGTAGCTCTTCTTTATGAGAAAAAATAGCAGCCAAAATCCTATGCATTTTTAAGGTGTTTAGCTTTCTATCCCCATCACTTATATGTGAAGTTAAAATTGTATCTTTACGGGGTTTAATAACATAAAAATGCTTATTTTGAATCAACATTGAAAAATAAAACTAGCCGGGGATTTAGCTCAGTGGTTCCGGTGCCTGCCTTGCAAGCACAAGGTCCCGAGTTCAATCCCCAGTACCAAAAATAAATAAATAATAATAAAATAAAACCATACTCAGGCAGACAAGGAAGTATATGGCACATTATAGATATGGGGTTTTGTTTTACAGTGAGCAAAGAAAAATGAAAGAAATTTTTAAATGAAATTTAGTATTAAAAAGTATAATGATATATAATAATAAATAACAAATAACCAGGAAGAGTAATTGTAGCAAGCTATAGAAATTTTCATTTCTAAAATCCTATACCATTTATTTTTTCTATTCTACTTTTATATATCTTCTATCAAAGTATGTGCCTGTTTTTTTAAAATAACTATTGATAAAGCCAGTTTACACTACAGAAAGGTTGCTTGTCACTAATCTTTATTTTTCTTCCCCCTCCACAGCAAACAGTGTGCTTGGTTTTGGAACACTGGTCAGTACTTCTAATACCTACGATGGCTCTGGCATTGTGACTGTGGAGACAGACCACCCGCTCCTCTGGACCATGGCCATCAAAATCTAACCTCCAACCTGGTCTTCATCCTTGTGCCTCTGCCCTGCCTTCCTCGCCAATGGGTTTTATTCCTCAACAGGAATAATTCACCCGAGTTTGCAGGAATGGAAAATCCCTCCTGGGAAGCCTACTAGGTTTAAAGCTGCTGGGAAATGGGGCTGTAGCTCAGTGGCAGAGCGCTTGCCCAGCATGCCTCAGGCCTTGGATTCGATCCACTCAATCACAAAAATATTAAATGTGATGAAAAGATGTTAGAGTTTAGATCGTCCAGGTAACACTAGAAGTGACATCTCCATTTCACAGAGAGGGAAAAATTACATGTTATGAAAGCAAATAAGGTCTGTGACATTCAGTTGGAAAGCCAATGTAGATCATTCCTTTTTAAAGTTCTGTCTTAATTGTTTTATGTAATTAATCATATCTTAGAAAATTGTTTTGAATTTCAAATTAGAAGAAAAATTACTGAGGCTCCTCTTGGAGTCTAGCACATCCTTAAATGCCACGCACACACGCACACACACACACACACACACACGTGTCTTGTTTTAGATCCCTCTGCATAATTTATATTACCTTTGACCTAAAATAGATATTCTTCTACAGTGGTATGTTAGAACTGTACCATTTCATTCTGCCTTATTACTGTCTTTGGCCTGGTCTTTTAAAAATAAGTCAAGAATCATTGAAGTAATTATTATATTTGAAAGTAGTTCCACAGACTGTGTGAAAGATAAATGATAACTTATGATGTCCTACTTTGGGTTAACCCCAAACTCAAAACTAAGTGTGCTACACTTTAGTGGGAGTGATCCTCATCTTCACTGTATCCTAAACCAAAACAGTTATGCAGAGGAAATTTAAACATAAAAATTGACCTTGGGCTGAAAAAAATATTGGTTCAGAGACTACAAGTTTATTCTGATAACCAGAAAATGAGTCTGTCTGTTGGGATAAATGAACATTGCATGTGGAGTCCAGGCCTAAAGCCTGTGTTCTTCCTGTCTGAATTCACCTGAGGTCCCTGAACCCCTCTTCTTAGCCGGAAATGGAAGGAGTTGGACTGATTATATCTGAGGCTCCTTCTCACATTCATGTTCTCAATCCTGACACCTAGTAGTTATAAGAGAGATAATGTGCACTCTTACCAGCTTAGCCTGCTAACATGACCAAATGCATAGAAATGTATTTACATTTATTTTTTGAGACCCTCCTTCTTTCTCCCTACCCTTTATGATTGTACCTAACCAAATCTTGGCATAAAAACCATGATATAAGGAGACCCCAGCCAATGTGTTTTATGTAAATACAAGGTCTATGTCATTGTACAGAAAGTGACCAACTCTTTGCTTCTTGGTGCTATAACTGTGTGGGTCAGATTGTAAATAGAGAATGAAAAGGGATCAGCTAAACTAGCATGCAATTCTGAACAGATAATCATTAGAAACAATTTGTAATTATTTCATGCAAATATATGTGAGATTGAAATCCAGATGACATATAAAAATATTTACTTATCAATGTGCACGTCTGTGGTTGGTTTTTAAGAAAATAATTTTTAGATGTATTTCATTTTAGCCATTCTTAATCAGTGCTTCTGTATTAAAAAAAAAGATTTGCTCAAAGGACGTTTAACAGCTCTGTAATTCCTAAGTATGATTATGAATTAAAATCATCTGCATAAACACTGCAATGGTAGAGGGAGCTGAGACTTTTCCACAACACAACCTGTGGTGCATGCCAGAAGGAAGCCTTAGGGGGCCATGGGAAGATTCCTTTAGCACCCAGACAATCATTCCCAATTCCTGCTGGGTACCAGAGAATTAGGTTTCAGTCTTGTTTTTTGACCACTCTCCATTCCTTGAAGCTACCTGGGCAATTTTCTTCTTGAAAATATGTGGACAGATTTGAGACAGGGCCTTGCTATGTAGTTCATCCTGGCCTTGAACTTGCTATGTCACCCAGGGTGGCCTTGAACTCACGGAGGTCCTCCTGCCTCAGCCTCCTGAATGCTGGGATTACAGGCATGCACCACCATGCCCAGCTGACAGTTTTCTCCCTTGTGTACTACTTCAATGTGTCACTTACACAAGTCCTCACATATCATCATTTTTATAGTAACAGTAAGTCTGCAGAGAGTGAGGTCTCAGGTGCCCCAAGGAGCTCTGAGCCTTCCAGAAAGTTCATCTTACCTCACCCTTAATCAGCCCTCTCCTGGCCTGTAACTTGTCACTATAAAAGCGAAACAGAAGTCGGGCCCTGCCGTGAAAGTTACCCACGTTCCTTGACCCTTCTGATCTTAGTTTCTTCTTCCTGTGAGATGGGTTCATAGTTTTATACACCTGGTGACTGTCAAAATGGCACTGGACTGCCTAAGTCACCAATTGGTGAACTTGTGCTGTGACCGGCCTTCTCTTTAGGCAGTGGAAAAATCAGGAAATATCTATAGCCCAATGGTTCGAGTCACATGTGACTGTGAAATAAGTTGTGTGTGTGGTCTAAGAAATCAGGGTAGAGCTGAGTGCGGGTCTGGTAGAGAAACACACTTTTATTCCTTAACTTCTGAGAAGCAGACAGAGCAGTTTTCTGTGAGAATGGAAACTAGGGCATTTCACCGGTTACGGAGAATCACAGGGCACCAAGAGGAGGTGGGCCCAGCCTGGGTGCTTGCAAAGTCATCATGCTCTGATCTTTGTGTCATGCTTCTGTGTGCAGAATGCATACTCTATCTTACTTTCATGTGTGTGAAGCCAACCTTGCTTATTACTCCTGCTCGACTCCGTGCCTTTCTAAACTGAACTTGAACTACTGAAATAGAGAAACACATGGATTTGATGTGAGGCGAGACTGAAGTTATATGCCATGTCAACAAAGAGGAAGAAGTGACTCTTCTCTCCCCAAGGCTATGGTTACAAAGAGATAGAATCTGAATGGTGACTTTCAAGTTATATTTACCATGACCCATGAGAAGTACATTTTACTTTATGGCCTTGGTACACACACACACACACACACACACATACACACACACACACACACACACACACGAACATGCAGTATGTTCTAATAACTTTACCCTAATTTGAAAAGCCCTCAAAAATGTATATTCTAGGTTAGAAAGCATACGGCAGGGAAGAGTAAAAAGCATAAAGATACTTTAAACAAAAGCATATGTGCTTTGTATACAGAGATCTAAATTAGATATATTCTGCCTATACTAATTTCACACATTTAAAAATTTTTGTTTTTGGTACCAGAGATCGAACTCAGGACTTTGTGCTTTCGAGGCAGGTGGCAGAACCACTGAACTAAATCCCCGTCCCTAGAATATAATGTTTTTAAAAATGTGTCTCTGCGGATATTAACATTAAACCCACAAGGTCAAGGCATTCCTAGGTAGACACTGCATATAGCCTGGAAAATTCCTGGCTTCTACAGTACAAGTCCACCCTCCCTTGCCCACAGCAGATTTAACTTATCAATCATAATTTTCTTTTTGATGAGCCCCAGACTGAGTCTCAGAATCCATCTCAAAACATTTCTCCAGGCAGACATGATCAATTATTCTCCATTGCCTGGGAGCTAATGTGCAATTTCGCCACTGTACACAAAACTGCTCTGCCTTACTACCCAGAAAAGAACTCATGGCAATATTTCTCTGCTTCGCAGATAATGGGTGAATAAATGGATACAAGGACTTGTTCTCCATGTACCAAAAGCAAGGGTCTTGCATGTGGCAAAATAAAGCCTAATTCTATCCCTGAAAATAACTTTAAAAACACTTACAGGGATCTGATATTACCCACAGTTGAAAATAAAATTTTCATAATAGACCCATAGCTGGTCCCTGAGAACCAAGAAATCTAAGATACATAATACACAGTCCAAAGGTTGTGAGGTTTTTATTATTTTTTGTTCATTTGTTTGGAGCTAGGGTTCTGCCCGGCTAGCCTTGAATTCATGATCCTTCTTCCTTAGCTTCCCAAGTGCTGAAATTACAGACACGGTCCTCTGCATCTGGCGTGAGAGGGTTTTAATGTTGGAAGAAATTGATAAAAGATTACAAATCATACCTTAACATGGACTTCTTCTAAAATACCTTTAAAAATAGAGGCAGAGAAAAAAACTTGATAGACTCTGAATACTCTATCGTCAGCTATATTTTTGGAAAATAAATAGGAAATTATGAGTATAACATTCTGTAAATACTGAGCAGAATCCTGTCTAAATGATCTATTTAATTTCATGCTTAATGTTTAGTATAATGAGTCTTCTGCTAGAGTATGAACCCCTCTGTGGCATGCATTGTCCTTCCTGCCCACTGCTCTGTCTCCTGCCCCTAGAATAAGACTGTCTGTGCAGCAAGTGTCCAAGAAAAACATGTGGCTGGCCAGCGGTGCTTCTGGCACCGGTTCTGTGCACTGGTCTGTGTGACTTTCTTGGCCCCTATGAGCTACTGTTCTATTTCTTTGGTCCTTGGCTGTCCAAGCCTTAAAGTAGATACATTGAAGTATTCCTTGAATAGGTTCCCCAATCTGAAAGATAATGTCCTAATGCTAGACTGGCTAGACCTGATCATATCATCGTTCACTGTCATGTCTGAAGAGGGGAGTATCATTAACAAGACCAAGGTCAGGTGTGAAGATATCATCCAGGGCAAGGCCTTCAGCTAGTCACAAAGGGGAACCAAAAGGCTGAGGAGCTTTAAATTGCATCAAACAAATGGAGCAGGAAAAGTAATGACAGAGGTTTGGAACACTGGATTGGGCTGAAAGAATCAGGACAATGTGAAAAGCATGTTTGACGGGCTTGCCCTAAGAGCAAAGATGGAAGAATGAGAGGTAACACAAGCTTTTTAGATCTGAAAATCTTAAAAACTGGAGCGATTTCCAGATATTAAAGTGTAAGGCATGGCCAAGGCTGTCACAAACTGAGCTACAGACAAGAGCTTGGGTTATTTTCAAATACTTTGACAACACACAATTCAATTCTGTTCTCATGGTGTTTAAATATTACTTGTTCCACACATTACACCCATATGAAATTAGCCTGAGGAGTCTAAAGTCATCAAAAGTTGTAGTCTCCAACCAAATTACCCAAAGTATACCTCATTATTTGTGATTCTCTATTGGATAATGTTCTCTGTTGAAAAAATAAATAGCTCTGTCACCTAACTTTGAAAAAGTTACTAATGCCACAAAAGAATGAGTTTGTTATTTTTAAAAACCTATTTTACTCAAAACCCTTAGCTTTATATCACTTTCATCAACACATTCAGCAAATGCATTTAGAATACATGAATGAGATTTCTGTGCACAATTAGGACATTCTACTCACTTATCCCATAGAAATCCCCTCAACTTGTCCTCCTGCATCTCGTTGGGTCACCCTAATACTTTAATATCATCAACTATGAAATTTAAAAATGAATTATCTCACAAATAATGAAGCATTCAGTACTATGGCACTGTGACCAAACAGACAAAGGACAGAGAGTAAGAGATTCCTTAGAATAATACAGAGGTTTTTGCTTTTTTTATTTTGTACTGCAGGAAATACTTAAGTGCCCATAAAACCTCTCCATTGTATCAACTCCATTTAGGAACTACCATTCAATCTAACTTTAGTCCCCTATTCATAACAAAAAAAAAAATGTCCCTGGTACCAATGGCCCACACACATTTTGCTATTTTACTTTCACTCCTTAAAATTCCTGGGAGCTGGCATGAATAATGAAATGAAGAGAAATGGTGCAGAAAGTTGTTGGGATCACTTTTACTCAGTGAATTTATTATGCATATTTTTTAATTGACCTTTTAGGCTAAGTTTTCGATTTCACTGCAAGGAATTGAGCAATAAGGTCAGCTTGAATATTTGTATGCCCGTGGCATTCGACAGTGAAATTCATGATGAAATATTCACAGATTAAACCATGATGAAGCCAATAGCTGCTTTTCAAGGCTGACTGGAGGTAGAATTTTTTTTAAGAAAGAAAGATTTGTACAAAAAGTTACTTTGCCCTAAATTTTAAAAACCAGATATGCAAATCATTTGTATAATTTTGTTGCAAGACTAGGTGTTTCTAGTAATTACGTGCTCATATAATACTTAAGTGGTGTTAGCCACATTAATGCTTTGTTATTCATTCCTATTTTCAGAGATTAATAATAGCCTTCCACAATTTGCTCTAAGGCTTAGCCTTTCTCTTGGGTAGATGTGTAATTTGTTAAGAGGTGAAGCTGCACAGAGCTAACGTCAAATAAATAACGTTAGAATCAAAGGGGATGGGATAAATGGATTGACTGCCACAGATTGGGAGTTACAGATGCCCAGAGTTTCCAATTATTCATATTCTACTCTCTCCAAAAATTCCATATATCCAGAGACTTACATTGCCTTTATGGGAGGCATATTTCATTTTTCAGGAAAGAATCTAATGATTTTGCCATCTGACAATCACAGAAAGGATCCACTCCCTCCCTCGTAGCAAGCTCCCTGGCTGTGAATGTGCCAACCCAGCA